CACTCATTTCACAGCATACTTAAAATTTGTCACAAGAGTTAATTTTTCTTTTTTTTTTTGTGTGTGTGTAGAATATGATGCTTCTTTTATCTGGCGAAGAGTTTGAAATTTTTGAAAAATTTTGGTATGGCTATTTTGTGGAGAGAAAGCACATATTTCTAAGACAGTCGATGTAATCTCACAAACCTTCAAGACGTCTTTTCGAGTTCACATTCCATCAAAAGGGGGCACAATCACAAGAACAGGAAGTCCATGATTTACACAAATCCATGAAACGGTTAGAAATAGAATCCTTATAAATTTTACAGTTAACCGGAATTTTTAGAATCTTTTGTGCTAGTAGTTGCGATTGTTTTTGTTTTACTGTGAGAAACGGTGTACGTTTGAATGTTCAGTACAACCGTGGATTGCAATTGTTTGTGTTGCAGTAAAAATCCATCAAAATGGACATTTCCTTATCATGTCCTGGGAACTTCTGGGTTTCTTTCTCCAAGCTCATCATCCTCATCCGTCATTAAATGATGAAAAAATAATTATGTGGGGGAAACGCAGGCCGCCTTCTGAAGCATTACCAAAATAGACGTAATTTCGTCTGCATTCGCGAAACTGAGTCATGATAAGGGGACGCATGATGATGGCACGAAATTGACCTTTCCCAGAGAAAATTCACAGGAATTGGGAAAAATCCGAAAAACTTGGAAGCCAGACAATTTTTCGAACGCTGAACGAAGACATTTATGAGGGACGTGCACAAGCTCAACCGGGAACATCGAGTTAAGTCAACAATCATGAAAAATTTCAGGAAAAAAAAACTTTTGATCATTTTTATGAGTACGTTTCTGATGCGCGGCATGAAAGCATGATCCGCTTTAAATCATCATTTAATTCGTTAAAATACTGAAATGACTGCTTCACGTTTCCAAGCAAGCGGAATCTACCTGACACTAATACTGAAAGCACCAAAAATGGCGTTTGAAAAATGGATTCGCAATCATTCAACTCGAAGGCCAGCACCTTCGCATAAATGCCCAAAGCGAGAGAGGCTGTCCCACGATGGTTCAATAATACCAGGTTCAAGCAATTACGTAATCCACTTTATTTCTGAAGCTTTTGTGGCAGCGAAACATTCCAACAAATAAATGAATTTCCTATGACTTAAAAATGTGTCACTCCATTATCACAAGCGAACTTTTATTGCTTCGCTGGGATTGAATAGGCAATAAAAACGGATAAGTAATTAAATTTTTTGAAGGACAAGCATGCACCAAAAAATTCACAAAATCCAGACAGAGACGAAGGCCTAATTTTAATCATGACTTGAACCTACGATTCCCGACGGCGTGACCCATTTTCTTCGGATTCCCGCGACAGAAAAGCCCGGAAACGTCGCAAAACAATCTCAATTTACTTTACCGGCGTTATTCAAAAAAATAATTAAGAAATCTATACCCGAAATCCAAATTCAGCTGCCCCATCTCCGGGTACAGTACTACAGTACTTCAGGAAAATTTCACGAGGAAAAATAAAATTCTGCCCGGACAGTAAAACTGAGCCGGAAACGCTTCGACCAAAATGATTCGGGTGACAGGAAGTGTCGTTCCTCTCCCCTCTCGCATCCCGGCGCTTCGATCTTCGGCATTTAACCGCTCTTTTCCCCCACTCCATTCCATCCTGTCACTGATCTCACTAATGGCATGAACACTCGGAGGGTAAATTTCAATTAGCCCCATGGTGTTCTCCACCCGTCGAGCGAATGAAAAAAAAAACTGAATATAAAAACCACGCCCCCACGTTCATCACTGATTCTCGGCATAGAAACTAGTCTGCTTTTGCTGCCAAGAATGATCCTCCTCATCGATCTAGATCCGCTACATCCCATCAATCGTCTCCCATCGCTTTTGAATCTCGGATTTCAGGATTAGAGCGACCCAGGACGAAAACCGCTCATTCGACCCGAGCTAACCTCTTTCCCCCCACTATTCTCTTCCAAATAAAAAGAAAAATAACAACGCGTAGGCCTCTTCTATACTTGAGTGTTATTCGCCTGGGAAACTTGACCTGATTTTAAGATGGCGAACAAACAGAGATCTATGGATGCTGAGAAGCGTACTTAACTAGAAATAAATCCTTTTACCATGAAAAATGGATTCAAAAAGTTTTTCATAAGTGTCGGTAGATCAACTAGAGTTTCACTAGGAACGAGACTGCAGAAAAGTTATTCCATATTTGCAGGCCTACATTCAGGTTTTTTCTTTACCTTTACAAATAAACCGCACACGCTGCCAAAAAAAAATTCATCATCGATTCATGCAATGATTTTTAGAACTTATTCCCTCATTACTCTACTTCGCCTTTGACTGTGATTTCAGATGATTTCTAAAGCTAGCGTGTCTTTTATTACTCCCTGATTACTCTTTAGATATTGTAACATGTGCAGAATTTAAATCTAAATAAACCATTATTGGAAAAAATTTCAATGAATGTGCTTTCATGATGGAGCATAAACGGGAAAAGGTGAATATGCGCTTATTTTAGAAATAAAGTAAAGCACAATACTTTATAGTAGATTTCCGAGAAAATAAATTTGAAAAAAAAAGAAACCTTTTGACGAACCCACCAGCCTTTTCCCGGGACTGTACGACGCTACGTCGATCTCAATCTGTATTCTCATGCATGAGCGCCCATGTCAATACCTCACGTTGGCTCATTCACAATTCAGAAATACTGTATTGTGATGGCATCAATGACGAAATTGACTCGATCATCAAGAAGCTTACGACCGAATACAGAAGCATCGCAAATACGATGAACAGTGAAATTCTTGACCGCGGACGTGGCAAACGGAAAAGGAAATGGCCACTGATTGTTTAAAAAAATCAATTCGCCATTCCAAATTCCACGGTTGCTTAAAAATATACAGTAGTAGAACAAAAACTGGGAAGGGTGAAAAAATGACCTTTCTGGCACGGATAAGGGATATTAAATGGCTAATCCCCTGCCCACTAAGTTTTCAGCAAAAAATGAAAATAACAGTGACAGTGCATGGGATGACCGGTACGTGACCCATTTGACCAGCACATGAACACCGCGTTCGGGCGATTTCATTTCAGTGATAACTTCTCCCTCGCCCCCAATCAGCAGAATTTTCATCCAGCGCAATTTCCAGAACTATTATTATGCGAAACGCATAAAAATGCAATCCATCATATCAGACCCCGCGGCTTTCCTGAATTCATGAATATTTTATCTCAGGCTGGAAGATTCAAGTGACGGATCACGAAAGGTAATTGAGGGAAACAAAATCAGATCTACCACCTCGTTTCGAGCAAGTCATATTTCATAGGAATAATAAAACCTGAATTTCGAAAAAAAAACCGGAAATCGCCGTTTGCGAGAAAGACATAAGGGCTTATCACACAACGTTCCACAGTATATTTTACCTCGTGAGTTCAGCATGACAATAAAATTACTGCCGAATTGCAGAAAGTGCGAATGCCGAGGAACTACATTTGGACTTTTTCTTTGAGCATGTTCAGTATAATGAATTCCGAGATTCAAAAATTGAGAAATTTAGCGATTCTTAACTTGAGGGATTCTTTTTATTCATCTGGTTTGAAACTTCACTGATTCAACTTCGTATAATTTATCCCGAGATGATTTTAAATCATACGGAATACATTTCAGAGGCATTTTTTCATAGGGCTCATATTCGTCGACCAGGGAATGTTTCCAGCGATCGACAGTCGAGAATATCGAATATCGCAGGGTGGGTCTTAGTCTCGTCATGATCAATAAGTCGAATAGCCAAGAAATGCTCCACTGGGCGGCCTTTTTTAGCTCATTGGATCTCAGCTGTCTTCTTTCTCTGGAAAAATATTGTACCGTAAAAATAATGCGTAGGGCTCATTCCGTGTCGATTATTCTTAGCCCTCAGTAGAACAGGGTAGGTTTTCAGGGATCCGCAGTAGCGAAATATCGAATGGGACTCAGCCTCGTCATGATCAATAAAAGGCGGCTCGCGGGAAATGCTATAATGCTCTACAGCGGGTCCCCGCATAACGAAACGAATCCGTTCTTGGATGAGCTTCGTTATGTGAAACGCGTTTTCCTTCAACGTTGCACTGTCAACAGTCACTCATCAGAAGACCGCAATAAATCATAAAATGTTCGTACATATTTTCAGCAGACAATTATGAATACGATTATACAGTGGTACAAATTTTGATCCATTGAAACAGAAAAAAAGTATGTTGTGAGCCATCATTTTTCTTTCACAAGCTCTTTTTCTTTATAAATTGAACGAATAATTATTCAGGCTAATTAATTAGTCAGTACTCTACTCATTTAATTGCTTACAAATAATTATGCAGTACAGTCATGTAGTTGAAATTTTGTGGGCATAAAATATTGATACCGTAATCTGATGTAATTTGTATTCATTTATTTTTATTCTGCTTCAGCATGAAATTGAAGTAGTCCCAACAACTCTTGCTGTTGAATTTCTACATTCCTCTAATTGTACGCACAGGAAGATGCAAAACTATATCTTCTTTTCATTAACCTCAATTTTGGAAGAATTCAAAAGTTTAAATTAAAATTTGATCAAATTAAAGCATTTTAGCCAAAACTTTTCGTTAAGCGAAACAATTCCATTATGTGAGTTCCAAATGTCGCTTGAAATTTTACAAATGCTATAAAATGATATGCTTGTGATTCAATGTACTATATAGCTTTGAATGAACTTTTATGCTTTCCATTTACAAGGGAGAAAATTCGGAATCGCAAAAATCGTGGTCTATTGTGGCCCAATTAAGGACTCGCTGCCTTTGCAATGTGGCCCTAATCCCAATAATTTTCAAGTTGGAAGTCGCCACTATTCAAAACATGAATTGATAAATGAATTTTGAAATTCAAAATATTGCTTGACCCTTCAAAACGTCTATAAAATGACAATACTCGTGCTTCAACGCGTAACACTGAATTGAATTTGAAACTTTCCATCAATTTTGGATTTCGAATCTCCAGAAAGTCCTGGTGCATTGCGGCCCACAAGGACCACTGCATCCCTCTACGATGTGGCCCTTGGCCACACATCCGAGTTGGACAGCACTGGGCTGCAGAATATTTTCAGGTCGGCCAAAAAGGCGAGCACGGCCACGCGCAGTTAAAACGCCGGACGACGGGGCGCGGCACCGAGATGAGCCACACTAGGCAGATCTCATTTGCAGCCATGAAATCCGGTACGGACTTCCGGCCTGTGCCACACGTTCATCCCCATCACTGATTACCATTACCGACTCTCGCAGGGGGGGCACAAAACACACCGGCACAGGATAAAAATCTGCGCCCAGCCTCTCCCTGCAATCGCGCATCGCTCATTTCCCCCCCAACTCAAAAATTGTGCCGAGCCTCCCACCAGTCGTATTTATTTACCAAAAAAAAAAGGATCTAGCCCGACAACGGCCGGCAATAAAACAAGCAGTGTTTTATTTCGATTTTTTCGGCTTCATTTTTCATTCCTTTTCGACGAGAATTCGCTGTCCAAATGCGGCGGAAGCATGCGAGTTCGTCACGTTACCAAGCGCGACGCGCAAAAGGGCCAAACACGTCGCGCACCGATGAAAAAGCATTGAAATAAGCATCTCCGTTTCCTAATTGAACGCTCATTTCATCCCGCGGGGCGGAAGGACACGGCACAATTTCCGCTTCATGGCCCGACGTCGCGAATCATTTCCCCGCATCTGCACGCGTGTGTGTGTGTGTGTGTGCAGTCCTACAACGCCTTTTCTGCCATTGTTTGCAGCTTCAATGCTCTCCACGCGACGGTCTTCAACTAACTACAAACAACGTCCAATGCAAACAAGCTAGTCTTTCGCGACGACGGAGACTGAATGCCGAGCTACACCATCTGTTTATAAACAAAACTTGGGAACGCATGTGGGGGGGGGGGACTGTAGAAATGAGACCACCGGATTGGCATTTAAATGTCTCTGGCAGAAATTCAACGAGCATAGGCGTATATGTCCAGTTGATATCCTCGACAAGACCAGGTCTCTCATTAAAATTGCACTACATTTGCGTCGCATATTCAAGAGAACCATATTTACTGAAGTACCGCGCACACACTTCTTCTTTCTCAAAATCGAGATGAGAAAAAGAGGGTGAGCATTGTCGGCGGATAAAAGATTTAATATTTCTTAGGTGTGCATCACAAGATATTATTGTGGCCAATTTTGGACCAATTTCAACATCATTATTTTATGAGAATAATTAATTGAATACATCGTATTTACTCGAGTACCATGCGCACTTTTTTTTTAAATCAAAATTGGAGGGAAAAAGGGGGTGGGCATCACAGGCAAGCACCGTACAAAATACATTTAAAAAATTCGAGGGCAAGGTATTCATTATACAGTATTTAATTATCATAGGAAATTTTAAACACATTTTAAAAGAAAAAATGGATTGTAATGAAAACAATTGGAAATTAGTCGAATTCAAGTTCAATTCACATCCAAATTCAAATTCGGGTGCTCTTATTTTTAAAATAAAGCATTGTGAATCAGGAGTCACTCAACATTGGGTGCGCGTCTCACTTAGGGATGTAGTTTTATCAAAATTTTTGACTAAAAAACCCTGGTGCGCGTCTTATACTCAAAGTAGCTTGGCACTCGGGTAAATATGGTAGGTTTAATTCATGTGTAAATTCAAATTCTGGCTTGTCTTAATTTGTAAATACAGTATTAAAATAGGGATTGCATCATCCTACTTGGGGATAGGATTTCATCAAAACGCAGGCTAAAATAAATTGGGTATGAGTCTTACTCACGAGAACTTGACTAAATATGGTACTACAGTACTGTACAGTAACAATTTCTTTCAAATGGGGTCAGTTCCAAACCTCGAGATTTTTGAAATCTTAGCCATTCAGAATTAGGGAATAAAATCCGAATTGCGCGCATTAAATTACGAATTATGGGAGATACATTTCAGAAATTTTAGCTCAAGATTATTCTTGGGTCAGTTTTCAGTCTGTAGCTGTAAAAACAGTATTTTCGCAGAGAAAAATTCCTTCTTTCCGGACACGTGGATACCAGGACGCGTCTTTCGGGTACTACATTAGAGCATATTTCAGGCCTCGGCGGGATATTCCCAGCATTTGCTACAGGAGAAAATACATTTTACGCGAAACAACTTTTATTTAGAAAACTTTTTTGGGCAACCTGTTTCAACAATGGTGACAGAAATTGTGCGTGACTCCCGGCTGACGAGTATTCTTAGAAGAGCCACGAAAAGACGGTTTTGTATTCAGTTTTTGTTAATAAATTCTCAAGGAATTCACTTATGGAAAAACGGGGTAAGAAAAAATAATCTAGAAAATTTTGACGGATTTTTTTTTGGACCGAAATCGACACGAAAGTCGTCGCTATTAGCAAATCAGTGCGTAAAAACTTTTATTAAATCCATTTCCTTCGAAAACGGAAAATATACTCCAGAGATTCTATCGATTCCATCATAAACGAAAATAAGAAAGCTAAAAAGTTCCTTGGAAAGAAATATCCGGCCGTCGTCACCAGCCAAGAACACTATAGGGATCTTTCGTCGGCAGAAAATCGGTTTTCCCACGTTTACACAGGACAATGAAAAAAGCCACCCGCTTCGCACAGAAAGTAAGCTGTACTCAGTGCATTTCGGGAAATGGACGACAAATCGCATCGACGTCGTCAAAATCGCGCAGTGAAAGACGCGAAAATTATTTCGAAAGCCACACGTAAGTTATTCTCGCCATGGAAATCCCCGTATTTAGTCTTGTACCACGCGCTTTTCTTCGACGAAAATCTGGACGAAACATCCAGGTGTACGTCTTGTACGAGTACCGATGTTTATATACTCAACAAAATATTTGAACCACGAATCAAACAATAAAACTTTCATTTCATACGAGGGGTCGAAAAAAAAGTTCTCGAGGTGGAACTTGAAATGGCATATGATATGATTGAGCTGAAAAAAAATTGTTGCTCAGAAAAAGTTTTCTTTGGCTCAAGAAAAAAAAAGGTAGCCATGTTAACGAATTTTTCAGACATTGTTTGCCAAAGTCACCCAGGCTGTTTTTTGCTCTTCACTCAAAAGATGAGGTGCTCATCTTGCAGATTTTTTTATGGCTTGAAATTGACATGGCATTAATTCAAAGAGTTACCTCCAGGTCTTCCAGGATTATTCCATCATTGAAACTACCAGCCGCCACAGAACAATCAATAAACGGCGACAACCCTTGGAATTAATGCCACGTCAACTTCAAGAATTCTGAAGGAGAAGCCCGGCTACACCCAAAAATTTCCAAGATGGGCGCCTCATCTTTTGAGTGAAGAATACAAAGCTGCCAGGGTAACTTTTTCAAAAATATTTTTATTAAATACTGTGCGTCGAACAGGGCTGATCTTTTCTTGCACCGAAGAATTTTTTTTTTCTAAACAATAATTGTTCATCAGCCCAATCCTAAATCATTTCAATTTCTCTCCCGAGAAAATTAGTCAGACCAATAGTGCACAACCAGGTTTTTTTTTACATTTGAAACTTGGATTGCAATGTAGTTCCTGCATCCAAACTAGATCTGCATGACGCACATGTTTTACAACTGACATAAAACCGTATTTTCTCTTTGAAAATGTGGGTGAGGCTCTCGCGCAAGGATGAGTGGTTCAGCACTGAATCCAGCAATAAAATGCATCATAAAAGACCATTAACATACACATCTTGGAGATCGGAGCGACTTACTCGTTGCCACGCTTGGAATGTACTGGTAGTTCTCACGTCAAGTTCCTCGCGCGATAATTTTTCATCGTTTAACCCAAGAATTATCTTTCCTCCCTCTGCCAAGATGGATCATCTTCCACTCTCAGTGAAAACTTTTCTTTCTTCCCAGTTTTCAACAGCAATGGTATTTTATCTTTGGAAAAATCGCCTCAGAAGAATTAAAACATCAACAGTTACTCACGCTTTTCCTCGTGGCGACCGACGACTTCCCGGGCAAATAATTTTCTATCTTGCCTGGCGCATTCCTGTACACAGGAAGTGTGTACTTGACCGGCTCGTTCGCCTCGGATCTGTGAGCACACATCGAGTGGATTTGGATTGAGTAATCTTCATCCACTAATGCCCAAGACTTCAGCACAAATAATTAAGGCTCTTTTGCCTGCTCAGCGGCAACAAAGGAAGTCCACTACTATACGTTTCCTTCTACAATAGCTACAATCGTATGCAGAGTTATGAACACTATCGCAAAGTAAAAAAAAAATCTCGCTACAACGAAGCCATTGGGACCAGCAGAATACCTTCATGATTTAAAAGAAAAATTACAGTCGAACCTCTTCAAGTCGAACGATCAGCCAACAAAAAAAAAAACGAGTTAATGAGATCTTGAGTCAGGGAAAAGAGAATTTTTCGTTGGGGAAAAATAAATTATATTGTAATTGGTGATATTTCGCAGTTAAGCTGCTTCTTAAATGAGTCGACAGGATGCTGAACTTGGATGTAGGGGTTCATTTGTCCAAATAGTCCTGCACTTCCTGTCACAACACATCAAGTTTCCTTTTTATTGTTTTTTCTTTGCTGAGTCATTAGAATGACAGCCAGGAGGCCTCTGCAAAATTTGAGTAATGGTGGTTTGAGAATAGATCCTTCCAGTTGGAGAGATTTTAATGCATTGTTTCTGAGGGAGGGGCTTGAAAATAATCTGACATTGGGAGGTTCGAGTTATCGAGGTTCAATTGTATAAAGAAACTCGAATAACACTGTGGCTACTGTGTTGGGACCTAAAAAAAAACGAATTTATTGTAAGCAATTAATTGTGTTAACAACTGAGCAAGCGATAAAAAGGTTAGGTTCGGTTAAGAACTATCTTACAGAGTGAATACCGTGTTGAAGATTACAAGAAAGAGATCCAGTGGAAATATTAAGAATTGCAGTTGATGGCTGCTTCATTCGGGTCCTGGAGTTCCGAACTCCAGCACACCTTGGAAAACTTCGTGACCCACATACGGTAATCTAAATGTACATATTTACAAAGATCCTCAAAATGTCAACAGGAACAACAAAAACGGGATCTTTACATGGGGGTCGAGCATTGTCCATCAAATTTAAATCTAAATGTAGGTGGACGCTCACTAAACGAAATTTAAAGGAACCAGAAAAATTGTCGGAAGAAAATATTGTGTACATGTAGAGAACCCCTCCAACATGGGGAGAGAACCCAATGAAACCAAAGAAAATCGTTATGCAGAAAAAATGTAGAAAGAGTCCACCTTCATGCTCAAAATGATTACTTCATGCCAAGACCCTCGGAAACTCTTTGAAAACTGATTTAAAATTTATACATAAAAAAACTCAATGAATATGGAATGAATCCATGGATACTATCATCAACGCTTTCCGCAACCATTTCAAGCTCTAGAAGAATCGCGGAGCTATTTTTCTTCAATGAATTTCATGGTAAACCATAAAGAAAATTAGCATCATTTCGCATGACGCAATCAAGAACTTCCTGGCTTTCCGAGAAAAAAAAACCTATTTCCGGCAGTACTGCGCCAAACCCACATCAAACTCGCAGAGGAACTAAGCAAAGCATTTCCAAGTAAACGCCACAAAATATCGCATGGAGCTGCCAACGAAGGAAAGAACTTGACTTTCGAGACAGGAACTGCCCTGTCAGCGCAGAGGAACGCGGACTTCCTCTCGCATTAATTCCGGAAAACAGGGATTCCATGCTTTTCACCATCGACGTGCGCTCAAGTCTCTCAAAAGCTTTTTCTCGCACCAAAGCTTTCGACTCGAAGCGCAATCTCGCATCATACATGGAAAGCAGTATTTCTGTAAAGGTAAACTCGCTCTACAATGATTTTCTTGAGTGGTCTCGGCGTACTTATGTACTTGAGTCTTTCACTACGAATATGACCACATACTGTTCTGGTTCCTTCAAGTACTGTACTGAATCACTGTGGAGAGAGTGAGAGACTATCGATATCATTAATCCTCGGTAAGATCAAACAGGAAATTCTACGCATTTGTAAGCTCATGTTGCTCTGGCTTATTGCTCATAGAATACATACCAAAAAGCCTACGAGTACTGCACAGAGATTCCCGCTTTTAGCAATTCTAGATTTATTGCACATTTTCCTTACTGGCCAGTGTAGAGAATACATTTCGTCAGCCTTTAAATAATGTACCGAACGATATTACAGCGAATTATATTTTCGCATTTACCCGAGTACCACGCGCATTAATTTTATTTTAAAGTCGAAAACGAAACATAGGGTCTTAAGCGAGTATGCATATTTTTTTAAAGCAGTTCCAAAGTGCACGTTATACATGAATCCTATTTCACCATTTGAAAATTACCATATTTCAAGGGCCATGCGGCTATGATAGTTGAAAATTCGAACTCAGACTTTTAATTGAAGCTCACTACATTCCATGTCAAATTCTTGTGCATCAAACTAAAGCTAAAATATTTTTTACTCCCATTTCGCCTTTAATGGAAGCCCGTTTCAAGTCTAAAAAACGGAAGCATTGCTCATTTGTGTATTCAATTTTTCATGCAGTTTGTCAATTGTATGAAAAATTGATCAGTGTAAGTGGGACGTGATCAGTTGATTTTTCATTTTAAAATACTACAGTATAAACATCAGCAGATTAGCCCCATCCTGATCCATTGTTTCTTTTTTTGACATTAAACGTATTTCACCATTTATAATTGCAATTATGCGACTGAAAGTGAGGTGCGCGTCATACTTGAGTAAATAGGCGGCATTACCCATTGGCGACCTCAGAAATTACACAAATAATTTGCAACCACATAATTATACCTTTGAGTTTCTGCACGGCCACGAGCATGTACGACACACAGGAATTAAACTCTAAACGTCTAAAACGTCGAGATACAATCAATTAAACTGTTACCAGTGAATTTACTGCACACTTTCTCACACCTGGGTGCCCCACGTTCAACGTACGTGCAAGTGCTATGACGTTCAGATAATTTTATACGGACAGTCATTCCGGAAAAATTTGCACGAGACACATTTATCTTTATCACAAACATTTTTGAGGAATTGAACACTCAAGGAAGAGAAAAAAATCACACCATCTCAAGCGCAACGCAGAACAAAGGGTCTCGGAGGCAAAGTTTCTTTAATGCACACATCACTTCAACGGGTTACAATAATCAAGTGCAAGCTTTTTCATTGATCACAGCCAGTCTGACAAGATTTCTACACCTCTTTCTCGACGAACTGCAGCGAATTCACAGAAAAGATATGTGAAGAGATGTTAGACGACTTCGTGGATCTCCAACGTGAAATTTTTAGGGTAACAGCATGCTTTTTTTTTCCTCGACTGGGACAAAAAAACACACACGAGTGCGAGACTCACTTCTCAGGGCGGACTGAGGAGAAGTCGTGAGCCAGAGCTCGAGTGCCACGGGCCTGAAAGTCTTGCTCGGGTTCCGACGTGTAACCCGCAATCCCGTCATAAGGAAACCTCGCTGTCAACGACGACGGCCTCGGTGAATCGGTATCACTCAACTTTTCTTGAAGCAAACACTCACTTTTTCTCGTGTACTGCACTTGGATATAGCCCACTGAAACGGAAACGCAACGAGAAGGTGAATGCAGTGACCGGAACAGGCTTTTTTTGCGATAAGCGCTAATTATGATCGCGACGCGATGATCGCTGTCGATCCCGGAAGAATCCCCGAGGTCAGCAAAAACACAATACATTCCAACAAAAATGTATCTTCTCGTAGAATCTACAGAACCAGAAATGGTTGACAATTGTCTCTACTTGGCTGCACTCGATCGCTTTCATGGTTTCAGGGCATCAGCCGGCATCACTACCGTGTTCCAGGAAAAATATATTCAATCTCTAAAATAAGGTCACGCAGAATTCAATAAAAAAGTCTACGATCAGATATGCAACAAAATAAGTCTTAGCTCTGGATAGAAAATATTTTCAATGGTGGATTATTCGCCATTTCCTTGGGACACAGAAGATTAAGGCCATGTACAATCCTGTAAATGTTACCAAGTTCACCCTGACTCGATTTTTCTTTTTTAGAAAAACAATGCAAGCGGTTTCGGCCAAAATTTTGCACTTCGACATCCATAATTTTTTTTTTTTTACGAATCGAAATTAAATTCCAGGATATACTGTACAGTACATTCGAACCTCCCTAGAGTCAAATAACTCTCTGCGCCGAATATTTCATGTCACTGTCTGAAGTCCCTTAGAAACGTTGCATAAAAACCTTCTCTAAATCGAAGGCTTTCCCCTCAAACGTCCATAATTTGTATTTCATGAGACCTTCGGCTATTATTTAAACGATAAAGGAAACAGAAAAGCAATAAAAACGTTAATTGATTTACTTTGAAAGGAAGTGAAAGATTAATTGGAAAAATGAACCCTTGCCTCCAAGTTCAGCATCCTGTCAACTCATTTATTCTGGAGTTTTAAGGTTTAAAAAAATTGAAAATTTCAGTTTTCTGTAATTCTTCATATTTATAACCAGCAAAAATAGCTTGAACACAATTTTTTTTCTTGCGGGTCCATTGACGTTCGATTAGAAGAGTCTTGATTGTACCTCGAAAATGTTCGAGAAAAATTATTAGCGTTACGCAAGAGTCACTTAGCTGGCGTTCAATCAAATTTATCATTCCCAATAATACAGGGGCACGAAAAAATCATCGCATGCCAACCGAAACTGAGGAACATTAAACCAATTGCGTGATCTACATGGAAAGAGAAAAAAAAAAGCCACTCGTAATCGTTGCCCGATCTCGGAATAATTCTCAAGACGATGCATGCAACGTGGGTCGGGGAACTCACCATCGGTGTCCGGTTGCTGGTGGATGCGATGATGCATTTCCCTGTACCACTGAGACTGGAGTCCATCTTTGCCATCACCCTGGCAGAAAGTGAGAAAACGTGCTTCAGTCGGAGAAAAAAAAAATCCATCGGAACGCATTCTAATGCGGGTCGAAACGAAAGCTACGCAAACTTCAGGGAGCCACGCTGGGTCAACATGCGAAAGGAACCCGAAACGGGCCGATGCATCCGATAGACATCGGCCTTTTGTCAGTTTTCGTGTCAACGTTAGAAAATCGCGAGATCCTTTTCCCCAGCTACTTCTGAAAACGCCTCCGGAGAATTTCTCGGGACGTGAAATGTTATATAGATTCTTCAAGGTCGTATGTGTACACCTCAAAACAGCAAAACGCGTGAGATAAGACGATTTCCCTTCCAAGTGCAGGTATTGCACCTCGGGCCAGTCTCTTCGGCACAAGAGAAAGTTCTCTTTACACAGGGTGCCGAATACTTTCCTATACTGTAAGGTGATGCATTTTTTCTGAATTTTTCCGGCTTTTCATCACAAATTTTCCATTGCGGATAAGGTCACTAGCATTTACAGATTCATTGATTGATCAATATAGAAGCTTTATTTGCCTCTTGCCAGCATTCACACAGTTCACAAAATTTTCTCACATCTCTCCAAAAATTCCATTCAACATATTCTGGCCAATCAAAAATATTTCACCATGTAGGTTTCAAAACATACATCGAAGTACATACTGTACAACTAAATACAGTACATTATAAATTGCCTCTTTTAATAATGAAAAAATCACAGCACAAATTGAAACACAAGGTTTTCAGCCTGTTCGAAGATACAATAATGTTTAATTGTCCAAACAATATAGGAAGAATCGTTGAGGAAAAGTCATTTACTGTACTCTAAAGCTAACAATTTTCCTCGTCCTCTAATATTCGGGAGTGTACCTTCTCATTAAATTGTGCGAATATCAAGTCTTTTGAAAGTTTGATTCTTATGGTGCACACATGGGCATCTTGCCCAGCATTTACACTACTATGCAGTGATTACACCACTTGGACACTTTCGATTCATATACGTACGCAACTTCTACGCAAATAAAGTCTTCATTCAGGTCCTACCTTGATCGTGTATAAAATGTTGGTGCTTAAATCATGGAAGGAAAAATGGACAGCACTTCATTTTAGAGCCCATTCTACCTTCTTGATTACCGTACATAAAGGTTCTTGTGCAATTGTAAATACGGTGATTTTACGCCCGAGTCACTCCTATCTTTTGGGTTCATCATGCGCGGGCATGAGCATCGCTAAAGTGAAAAAAAAATTAAATAGGGTTTAAAGTGATATTCTAATAAAATAAATACTTATATTTCCTTCGACAAGCGATTACCTCTCAACTTCTGACTCACCAGAAATGTTAATATGCCTCCGGAAACAAATCATACACAACAGGTAGACTCTCTCTACAGCAATTTTCGTGGTGCCATAGGGGCTTATACCCGAACTATAGGGGTTCTCTAAAATTTAATTTTTTTCTGGCCCCCTAAATTGATTTGTTCGCCTGCATTCGAAACAGCTAAAATGTTAACTTTATGCACTGCATATAAACTTTTCTGGACACCCTATAATTCTGACTAAATAAAGCCGGACGAATTTGACGAAAATCTACCAGAGTCTCTCTTCAATTTTCGAGTACTGCAAGTTCACCATTTCCTCCAATTCGACAGATATTACAGCGCAAACTCTAACCATACATTAGAATACTGTATTTGTTAAAGCTGTTTCTGATTGCGCTACAAAACTCGCATTCATTCGATTAAAAGTCAATTTTCTAATACAAAAAAGACATCACAATAATACAGCAGCCTATTGCTGGAAAGAATTCAATTCTACGCTCAACTTCACCGCAACGTCGCTAGAATTTTTGACCGCCAAGTTTAGTACAGTGTAAGCTTCCCGAAAATGAAATGGTCTAAAATCGTTAGGTGTTGTTAACCTACTTATTTTCTTACACTTGAAGGTAACTTACGTGGCTTTCAGGCTTAGCAAAGATTGCAGCATCCAACAATGTGGGAGATGGAGTCGAAGGAAATTCTGATGTGACAGAAGGGTTCAAGGACAAAGGAGATGACCTACGCTGGGACCTGAACCCAGGTAAGGAATTGTACCCCCGGCAGTCATTAATCCTCGCTGGGAATTTCATTGATCTTACGAGAACAAAAAATCCGGGATTCGGCGGGGGAAAAATATTTGAGAAATAAATCGAGAATGATACTCACCATGGACGATCACCTGCCTCAGATGTGAATTTCTAGAGATTCGAAGTTTACCGCGAATGTGTTCCAACGAATGACAAGATTGTATCTCCATGCTTAGTTCAGCCTAAAAATGTACTGTATATTACACTTCAACTAACAATGCTACCTTGGAAAATAAAGAGAAAAACTCACCCTCCGCACTACAGTCCCCTCTGCAAACAGCTTCGAAATCACATTCTCCTTTCCGATTCAAATTTTTTTTATGACGAATTCAAAAAATATACTTTTCTCCGAGGTAGTTCACTGGTGTAAATGCAATTGCTCTGCAAAAAAATGAATCAAGCATCAGTCTGAATTTTCCAAAATACTGGTAGCAAAGCAAAAAAAAAAGACTATTACGCAATTTGGAACCATCTCTGTTGCACAGAATCTAAGCATTACGCCTTCAAAATATGCTTTGCAGCGTGAAAAAGAATGTTCCAGTAGGAAAAAGTGAATACAGTTGAACCTCTTCAAGTCTAATTTCAGGGGATCAGCAAAAAAAAAAAAAAGAATAAGGGAAATGCACATTTTTGTTGGGGAAAGACGGAATTACAAGAAATTGTTATGTTGATTTTCTGGGCCTTGAATTCCTTTTTAAACGAGTTGACAGGATGCTGAACTTGAGGCAATAGTTCATTTGCCCAATCAGTCTTTCAATTCCTCTCAAAACGCATATACTGTACAGTAGAGTACAGTACTGTACTTACATTTTTATTACTTTTCTATTTCCAGCGTCAATAAAATAAAATAAAACAGGCCTCCAGAAACTTCAAGCTACAGAGGTTTTTAATACATTCTTTCCTATGGAATTCAGACAGGGTCTTGAGAAAAAAAATGTAACATAGGGAGGTATTTGACTTATGGAGGTTCAACTGTACTGTGAAAAAGTGCAACAGATGAGAGGTTCCTGATCAGAAAAAATGTGCGCACTGCTGAAAAAGGCCCTGTATTTATGCACCTCAAACCGAATAGTCAGCGGGGAACAGCAAAATCCAATGTTGAGAAATAGGAAGACCCCGACAGGGTTTCTCGGACTTGACATGCAGATAAGAAATGTGTCAGGTGGTCATTACGCTCCACATACACAACTGCAACGAGAGGGCTTAATATTATGGAACAAGAAGCGAAAATTGAGACGAACAATAAAAACAGGGCAATTACAATAGCAATAATAAGGAACAACAGCAAGTGCTATGGGCTGGAAGGGCTAAGTTTCCCGCATCAGCAATCGGCAAAAACATGCCGCAAAGCAAGAGAATCATGAGATCATCAATCAATCGGCCCAGACCAAACGTTCATAGAAACACTCGTTGTGTTCACCAATTTCTAACACATCTGGGTCAAGTGTCGCAGTCAGAATGTTCTCCCTGGGGGATAGTGACTCCACAACAACAATGCAAACCGGGTGAAAAATGTCAACAATTCACTGAATTCTTTCCCGACACACAACCGCTTTGGGTTCAGCGGCTACTGGACTGCTCGCTGAAATCTAAGACATCATACACATTACAAGTCTGAATGTCTGTTTTTTTTTTTTTCTCGAAGAAACAATTCGGAGACGCACTCTTCGAACGATGACACTAAGCTCAGTTCGTGCACAATCAAGGCACATGATTTTTTTTTTCAAACCAAGGATGCTTTACTGTGAGTCTGCTTGATTCGTCTGCACGATTGCAAGTAGTCAAACCCCGTTAAGACGCCCCCCGATAAGCCGCCACTCACGACAACCATCCAATTGCTTCGAAACACAAATCTTACCTCGTACGATAAAAGCAATGGAAACCCTGTTGAAACGCCACGCTTCTGTCAGTTAATTTTGTCTTCCATAGCCCGCCAACAAAATTATTTTTCCGTGAGAGGTCTCAAAATGAAAAAAATAAATAAAAATAAAAACCCCCCCAACAGAAAAATCACATGATTTCCTTTTCGGGAACATTTGTTAGATTCAATTTACGCATCCCAGGGTTATTTTGGTCGTTTTCTAGAAGACTAGAATCAAGTACAGTTTTTTTTTTCCTGTCATACCTGATTTTCATTGACGAACCACCAACCCCGTTGAACTACCATAAACGTTACGAACAAATGGTGGCGGCTTATCGAGGTTTTACTGTACTGTACTGTACTGTGTCCGAACCTGAAGGTTCAACAGTGGGGCGGAATTCCGAATAGAATACGGAAAAAAGGGGCATGACAGAGCCAGCCGTGTAAACTAAATTCTTCAATCGCACGTCAATGAATGAATGATATGAAGCTTCCTGCTGGGATCCCAAACACCCCACAGCACAGAACTCAGTAACGCCTCATTAGTTAACATCCACAGAAGCGCATCTCGGTAAACACGAGTCCACTCTCATCACTCTGGTCCAGTCCACTGCGTCCCATCGTTGGCACACACCACGCGCAACCCTGAACAGGGGGGGCCCCCATCATGGCAACCCAAGTCATGGAAGGACTGCCTGGTTTGGTCACGATCCCCGGGCCGGAATTCCTCGAATACTGTCCGAAAATCCCTGCACCTTCTCTATTCGGGCACACGAGGACAACTACGAGCTACAGAATCCACCAATTAGCCTTCCATGAAATGGTCCGCCACGAGTTGCCCCGGAACCCTCGAGTGCACCTCGTCCAATAACCAGGATCTTGAGGACTGCAAAAGCCAAAGCTCGTCTAACTCCTCGTACATCAACGAACAACCCCTTCACATACTGAACATGTCGCAATGATGCAAGCCCCATCACCGCAAACGCCCACGAAACCGGTAATGAGGGACCTACGAGACATCCACTCCCAACAGGTAGCCGTTCGTTGAAAAGATTTGATACAGGAGGAAAGAGGTAAATTAAAAATGTTCCGCCGTGTTAAGGGGATGACTGCGAAGCGGTGACAATTTGTATAATCCGTAGAAATCATGGACACACCGAATTTTATGTCACTGTCAATACGAAACTTTGAAAGAACAGAACACAAACGCAGAGTAGCAGCAACCGCGGCATATTTTCCCAGTTGAGAATCGCTCATTTTGTAGTCGCGGGTGCAATGACTGACCTGACCTGATCTCCTGCATGTGGTCAACACATTACGGGTCAGGTTCCATGTCGAACACCATTTTTCAATACTCTTTCTTGTTTAACCGAGGAAGTTATATTTTTCTGGACTTCTAACCAAGTCGAGGGATTTCGCGAAAATGAACACGAAGCGCAACGCGTCTCTAAATCTGACGAAGAATGCCTTTGGAATGTTGGTCGGGGGTATTGCACAAGGGTTATGCACACCGGGATACATAATGGCACAGCATTGGTTTCTTTCGTTTTTTTTTTTTTGTGCAGGATCATATTCTCAAATACAATACGAATGATGAGTGAGCCACGGGAAGTTTCATGAAGTGTCTGAAGAGATGCGAGAGAGATCAACAGCAGCCGCACATCATCACGCACGAATTTTTCGACTGCGGTTTCAAGAGAGAAAAAAGAAAACTAACTCCCTACATTTCCCCGAATTTACAGAAAGCGTTTCTGTTTTTTCCCCAGTACCGATGCAATGGACAGCAGAGTCGTGGTGAACTTTTTTGTTCATCACCGACGAGAGCTAGAATTCATTCTCCCGGTAAGAAATGGCGCGACGCGGGGCTCACAACACTGAAAAACTGCAAAACAATTCCTCCCACCGTCTAATAGCGAAACTTAAAATTTTCTATTGCTGCTTCCGCCGAACAACTTCTTTCGGGAAGGAACCTCCACAACTGAACGTCCGCCACCAGCAACGGTCCTGACGGAGGCACCGGCTTTTTTCAGGTTTACTATTTTAGTTTTCTTCCGCCTTCTCTCTCACACTCAACCTTTCCCTGTTTTCCCGTAGTGCGTGGGTCTCCGAAAACAAAACTGCGCATTAAACATTTATGCAGGCATATAAATTTCCCACGCTCGCTCAACTGTACTGCAATGCTCGTTCAAGTCCATGAGGAATGTCCATGATGGATCAATCAATGGGGTATCGGGACAACGAAGACTTTTCCGCTCGCTCATAACAGGAAGCAAGCCCAACCAACAGCGGCAACAATCTGAGACTCACGGGAGGGCAGGGAAAAGGGCACTAGGAAATATCTACAGGGAGGATATTTTCACGACGTTCGGGTACGGCGGTGGAGGCGGTAAGCCGTCTTCATCCCCGCCACCAGCTTGGTCACTGCTGCTGCCATCCCCGGGCGCTTCTTCGTGGTGCATGATGAGCAGGTCCTGCGGCCAGTGGCGTCCTTGTTGGGCGCCACTGGCAGCGATGTTGATCACAGCACTGGTGACAGGGCTGCGGGCCTGCTGACCAGACCCTCCGTTCGCGCCGCTCGCATTTTCACCAGCCACGCAGCTACCAGCCTGCGTCAGGCTGTCGGCGGATGAAGGCATGCCACTCTTGTTGCCATGTGCGCGGCGCAGCTGATGCTGCTGGTGGTGATCCGTCAGCCGGATTTTCACTTCGTTCAAGTCCTCATCGCAGTCACCACCGGTCGTCGGTATGTGCGATTTCTAAGCGATACAAAAGCACACATTGCCCAACTTGCGTTAAAATCTGGCCTAAAACCATCAATCGAGTCCGAAGATTATACAGTTGAGCCTCTTTGAGTCGAACTTTGGGAGATCAGGTTTCGAGTTATGGAAAAAAAGCAATTGTGTTTGAGAGAAAAAATAAAGAATTGAATTTTTAATTTTTTTAAATTGAATTTTCAAGCTTTTTAAATTTTAAAAGAGTTGACGGGATGCTGACCTTGGAGGCAAGGGTTCATTTGTCAAATTAATCTCTCACTTCCTTTCATCGAAGTACATCAAGTTAAATTTTTATTGCTTTCCTCTTTCCTGTGGAAGTGAAATCATAGCTAAAAGAACTCCAGAAAATTTGAGTTAAGTACGTTTTGGGGATGAAAACCTGCTTCTAACGGAAACAGTGCATTTAAAGTCCAGAAGGGACTTGAAATCAAAACAGGGAGGTTTCCGACTTGGGCGTGTTAGAGTCATCAAGGTTCAAATGTAAAAGGCTATTTCTACTTCAATGCCAGCTGTCTTGATTCGATGAATTTATCGTGCTATTTCATAGGTGTCGCCTCTTGAACAGTATCCGTTTCACAGGCTGATTTAGCTCAGATTAGCTTAGAACGGACGGAGGGATTAAAGAATTCATTTGATTACAAAAAGCTTTGATAAAAAAGACTTTCGATTTGAAAGAGACAGAAAAAAACACCGAGCCAAAAACTGCTCAAACACGACTTCCTGCAGAATGTCCCACAAAGTAAGGACAACATTTCAAACATCTGAACTAAATGACACCTGGCAGAGGTTTGAATTTGACTACCGCAAAAACTCGGCGTGAAATGTTTCGACAGACGAAGGTAAGAATCCAAGGGGTCTTCAAAAATAAGAGAACCTGGTAACGGCGGGAAACAGACAGGATTGGCGGACAGTGCCGCCCACAGCATGCCATGAGAGAAGCGCGACTGCCGACGGATGGCGACTGAGAAATGGCGCGATGCGGCGTGACGACTTGCGTTTGCTGAGGGTGTTGCTGACCGCTCGTCACCCCGCCGAATGGGTTCTCCATTTCCACAAACTCCCGGTCCTACACAATCCAGAGTACACGCATCAGCAGTGAAAGAAATAGCATTTGGAAACGTGCCCAAAGCTGCCATAATAGAATTTGCTAGCGGGAGACGATGAAGGCGAAGAAACCGAATTCGTAACAACAATGAAAAAAAAAACTTGCTCTCGACTAACGGGATTATTTCTCCAACTAGAAGTGACGAAGCTTCCATCAAAAATGCGCCACTCAATATTTAAAACCCCCCAACACCTGGAATTTCCCCCCTCGACAGTCTTAACCAAGTAAGCCGTATGTATCTGGTCCGAGAAATCGATGAAACCTACGTATGCTTTGTTTCTTTCGAAGAGCAGTGCTAAATTCAGCTCAACAAAAACGCCAGGAGGAAGAGGAGATAAGCAGATTAGCTCCTGGGGTCTTTTCATCAATCACTCGTCTGACGGAACGTTGTCACAGAGAATGGGATCGCATACTTCAACCATCTGCCTTTGGAACGTGACCCGCGCCCTGTTTATGCCATGACTTCCCTGCATCTACACGCGCTGATACGAAGTTTGAAAAGTCGTTCGTTTTTTACGCATGGGTAAAGCATTTCGAACATAAATAACGTCATACCCCATGAATACGATCCTGTAACGAGATAATCGCAACGAAGTCCTTCACCTTTGAGCTACTGTACTTCAGTAAATGAAATGAAATTGCGGTCCTTCTCCCACTTCAAATTTTTAAAAATATTATTGTGTCGTAGAAGCAACGCCTCCGTATTCGTATGCTCATGGAACGGTCGAAAACGTACATCCATTTAGATTATGAATACAGTACAGTTAACCCTCGATTTAGTGCCAACTCACTTAGTGCCACAAAGAATGCTCCGTCTAGGATGAAAAGTGAGCCGAAATTGGAGGCATTAAGGCCTCTTTGGAGTTAAGATCCTGTAATCAAACAGAATCACGTACCCGTAAAAAAAATTCTGATAATTGCAATAATAAAAATCAGGACACATTCCTTCATTTCAATTTTAGAATATAGTTCTAAAAATGGATTCATTCATGATGGCACTTGATAAAAAACTCAAGCGAAACTTCAAGACCCAGCTCTGCTCTTTCACTGAACACTTTACGTGCAACAATCCTACACATCTGTCAATGAATACATTGAAATGCAGTATAAAACAGTACATTTGTGCTTCAAATGATTTCACGTGGCTTTCTTCGATGAAAGATTCAGGGGCTCAATAAGTTCATGAACAAACTTATTGCGCTCACAGTAGAAGCTCTCAACTAGACATTCTTATTATACAATGCCACCCTTCCTTAATGCGAAAAATGGCACTAAATCAAGGTTTGACTATAATTCAATCCACTGTCCATTATGGAAGAGTTTCAAGTGAGAGAGCATCAAGCATACATTTCCGCCGAATATATTTTTACACGAACAGTTCATAACATAATTTCCAACTTAGATTTCAAATCACAGAAAATTATACTGAACTCGATGTTTCTGATTTCAATTCACCGTATAGGAGGAGTTTCAATTTCAATTTATAAAATGTGTTCCTTTCTCTTTTTTTACACTAGTTTATCTTGCGAAGTTCATTCTTCCGAAGCAAAAGACGGCGCATCTTCCGATTCGCCAGCAAGCATCGGTTATTTTTACGGGATGAAATATCATAGAGGGTGTTGAAATGATGAAATCAATGACGTTCAATATACCCCGGGGATGCAATCATCAAAAGGGATCTCATACCGTAGTCTTTTCGAGACAACGTAGCAGATGGTGATGCTGCAATTCAAAGATGTCCTCGTCGTCATTGTTGAGAGCGACAAGGTTAGGGCTGTTCTGCCCAGAGCCTGAACCAGCAGCTGCAGCCGCTGCGGCAGCCTGTTCCTGGGCTAGCATCCGAGCCTCAGCAGCTTTCTTCCTGCTCACGAATGCAGCGCCAGAAGAGGCCTTCGCCATTTTGATGCGGGCCAGTCTTGCTTTCTACTCAGAGAAAAGTTCCCACAACCTCGTGTCACAAGAACTGCATCAACAAGATTCTATCTTGTCGTGATGTAATAATTTACAGATATACTGTACTGTACTTCAAATGTATTCGTTATAGCTCCACGAGTAATTACTGCTTTCCGCGTCAAAACGCAGGAAAGCCTTAAACTTTTCAGCCTCGAGAATAAAAAAAATCTGTTCCACTGATACAGTCAAACCTCTTGAATCAAACTTCAAAGGATAAGCATACAAAATCGAGTTTGTGCGATTCCGAATTCAGAGAAACAAGCTTTTCATTTTGACAGAGACAGAGAATAACTGCAAGAAATTGTAGTTGGTGATATTCCAGACCTCACATTAATTCTCAAATGAGTTCACCGGATGCTGAACTTGAAGGCAAGCGTTCATTTGCACAATTGGTCCTTCAATTCCTCTCAAAACACATGAAGTCACATTTTCATAGCTTTTCTCTGTCCCGTGTAAATAAAATACAATAATAGCCAAAGGGCCTCCAGAAAATTCTAGTTACGGAAGTTTGAGGAGGAAAGCATTCGAGTTTGGGAGCTTCTTAACGCAGTTTCTAAGGGGATTCAGGCAGGAACTTTGGAAAAAAACTTTGACATTGGGAGGCACTTGACTCGGGAAGATTTGGATTACTTTGGGTTTTTTTTTTACTCATGTCAACGATTTTCAGGGCTACGATTTAATCGCGTACCCAGCCCCACATCAAGCGGTGACCAAAAATTCAGCTCACCTTCTGCGCTTTGCGTTTATCTGCACGTTGGTTCTGATGATAAATGCGGCTGAAATTCGAAACGATCACAGGGACGGGCAGGGCGATGACAAGCACACCGCTAAGTGAGCACACGCCACCCACAATCTTCCCTGTAATCGTCTTGGGTACCATGTCACCATACCTAAAACGAATTAACCCATCGACTTGAAAATCTGTCGTACTACGGTTTTCTGAACTTTTACTACGTACAATATTTTCGCACGAGATAGAGAGAAATTTTCAAAATCTGATGGTAAATCTCATAAAAAATCATCAGAATTGTGAAAATTACGTACACCTACCGTGAAACACGCGAACTTCGCTACTTCGCCTGCAATATTCTCGTTTACATTTCTTCTGGGCATGAAAATCATGTCAGCAGCGTTTCTAAACTTTCCATAACATTACTTTGCATTGGCCCCTCCAGTTAGTTGAGAAGAAAGTCACGTATATTTGATTTCAACTGACGTTCGCCTTCATTTTGTCATCAAATAAAAAACGAGGTTTCAAGAGAAACATCACGAATACCGATCCAAGTCTCAGTAGCTTGAAAATGCCAGAAATTCGCTTTGGAGTTTTGAAATGTACTGATGAAATCGCAGACATAACGACGTCGATCACGCGAATGCACACGAACGAACGAAGAAACGAACGAGCGGACTTACCCGAGGGTAGTCATGGTCACAATGGTGTACCAAAAAGCCGCGGGAATGGATGTGAAGTTCGTGCGGTCCACGTTCTTTTCGGCATAGAACATGACCGTGGCGAAGATGATGATGGCCATGGCCAGCGAGAACACCAGAAATCCCAGCTCCGACGCGCAGGATTTGAGCGTGTAGCCGAGGATTCGTAGCCCCTGGGAATGTCGCGAGAACTTGAAGATGCGGAACACGCGGAAGACCCGCAGAGTCACGAACGCGCCCGAAACATCGTCGTTGTCCGTGATCCCCAGCCCGATGTAGTACGGCAAAATGGCCACCACGTCGATGATGCTCATGACGCTGCGCACGAATTTGCACCGATTCGGGGCTGCAAACAACCGCAACAGGTATTCTGCAGTGAAAATCATGACACAGGCAGTGTCCAGGCAGAAGAACACAATTTTGTAGCGCTCTCCGCACGACAGGGGTTTCGTTGAGTGAGGCAGTGTGCCACACGGCACGGTCTCCACCACGTTCGCCATCACACTCACGGCGATGAAAAACCCGGTCACGTAGTAAAACACAAGGGCGGCCGTGGAAGTGTGCGGGTTTTCAAATGCACGCCACATGCGTTGACGAAGAGAGCTCAGAGGCGGCAGTCCAGCTCCTTGTCCGTCACCTTGTCCATTCTCCGACAGCCGGTCGTCCAAAAGCCGCTCCGCGTTTTCACGTTTTCTATCGCGATAATCTTCATAGCAACAGTCCCCGATCACGTCGGGGATGATGCCGAAAAAAGCCAGTTCCTCGTCGTAACTCGTCAGACACTCGTGCTTCGGATAATGCAGTTTTCCCGTGCGGTAATAGTTGAGGATGTGGCGAAAGATGTCCGGGTCGCGGTCGAAGAAATACTCGTGGCTGTCCTCGTCGAAAAAGAACTCACGCTCGTTCGAACCCAGCAGCGTGTCTGGGTAGCGCTCCAGGGTGTTGCGCCATGTTTCAAATCGCCGCCCGCTCACGTTGATTATGAGCTTCACGTCGTCCGTTCGGCGGGCGCTGCGCGGCAGGGGCGGCGCCGGCAGCGGGTTCGACGCGATCGGGACCCAGCCGATCGCAGCCGCCCTGGCAAACGGCAGCCAGGCGGCCACAGAGGCCATGGCGTGGGGCGGGATGTTTCCTGCTCCTTGGGGTTCTTCTCCTCCTTAAACAACCTCCGCGACGCGATATCTGTTTTTCGAAAAATAACTTCACACTCCGATCATAGCTTTCGTCGTCGTCTACCTGAATAACGTGAGAAAATGCTTTCAATCATCCAACCTCGTCTCAGACGGTAAGAGAACAAGAGAGCCCCCACCGATGGTCCAACAAATTTCGCCAACTAAAACGAAGCCTGCATCCAGATCTTGAAAGGACAGAAAACTAACGGCAATCGGCAACCAACTTTCAGAATAAATTTGGTGTTCGGCTTAAATCTCCGGAGAGACATAAATTCGCACAAATGCTTTCCGCCACAGTTAATTTTTTTTCCAGCAGAACTGGACACAGGCTATGTACGTAGGAATAAGACAAGGTTTGCAGAAGAATGAGGACCAGCCACCGAAAATATCCAAAAAGCATAGCTTGAAGCCGCCAGCACCACAGATGAATAAGAAAGCAAGTCAGTCCCAAAAGCACTGTAAAAAGATCAAGATATCCTGAGAAAATCCGAAACCAATTCGCATCGGAAAATATGAAAACTGTTTAAGATGCAATTTGAAACGATGAAGATCCACTGCACCCAAAGCAAATGAAACGAGATCAAAACTCACACATCCGAACAATTCAAAGATCTTCTTTCGGTGCATCCTAATTCTCATGACCCAGGCCATGTTTTCCTGCATCTAGAGAAAATGAGAACGATTCAATGAAGAATCTTCAAATTAAGTGCCCATATGAATTCTAGCAATGATTACCGTCGATGTCATTCCTCTGTATGGTAAACTTCCGTGCAGATCAAATTTCCGCAAGACATCTTCCAAAAGTATCGAAACCTTTGCCTAATTTCTCCTTCATTCAAGTGTTCCTCGGATCAGCTTGCCGCAATGCCTGCAGAACGTCCAGACGTTCACCTCGATTTCTCAACACTACACTACAATTCCCAAATTCGGCAACCAACCTGGCATCTTGAAATTCACACATCTGCACGGTTTCGAACATAATGTAGGCCACGGAGGAACTTCTTCACGAAGAAACAAGGATGCCATGGGCTTCCTCAGCTCATCAACACAACGCGGGCCACGCTGATGAGATAATTAATACAAATTATAGTTCAGTTCACCAATTTAGAAAGCCCTCCTTAAATCAGAAGCTTGCGGAATAAAGCGATGAGCACAACTGAACATCCAACCACAACAGCGCATCTGTGATACTCTCCATGAACTGACCGAGCTTTAAAATATGATTTAAGATCATCTCATTCAGTCAGACTGAAACCATGAAAACGAATCAAGTTTACCATGAATTATACCACATTAATCGAGCCCTTGAAGAACGTAATGTCTATCACTCATTATTTGCCTATGCGCTGGTTACATCAGCGATGCCAGACGTAGATTTCATCAATCTCTATTGAAATGAGCCAAAAAAATCTAAATCTTTCTCATCAAAAAAGCTTAATTTCGGTGAAGAGGAAAATTTTTTAATATCCGTTAACACATAGTGAGAAGAATGTAACGCACTGATTAAAAAAAAACATTCTCCATCTTGAGTAGAAACGAATACTTACCGAAGTCAGAGCTGCTCTTTCCGTTGACATGCTGAAAACTTCGAAGCTTTCTAAACGTTGTATCGATATATACCAGCAGTTGATGAAAAGAACCCAACACTTGTACACTAATACCGATGTAACAGCAGAAATATCGTCACGATAGTTCACTTACAATCACAACGCTGCGGTAGATAAAACTGATAAAAAACCAAAAATTAAGCAACATTAACAAAAAGGAACAAGGAAAGAAAATCGCTGAGAACCCGGAAAGCCGCGGAATTGATGGCAATATTACTTTCGTCCTCCACTCAAATCTCGCCATTAGAAATGAGGGCACACTTCGATACTGGCTGTAAACTGTGACTGCATCTGAACCAGCCGTCCACACAACACTCGGTGCTGTTCGTACAACTGAGCAGTTGTAACAATGCAGTTACTGAAGACAACCTAGATAATCCAAGGAATCCCACGCGAAGATTTAAAAATTTAAGAACGATAGATGTTCTTCGCGCATTTTTCTTTTCGCGAAGCATACATACAAATGCACAAGAATCCGAAATTCTGATCATCCTACAGGAACCAGCAATCAAGAATTTTGGCTTCGAAAACGTTTTCAACGCAACGCTCGACCGCAGTGCATTCAACGCTGCCGTTCCCAGAAAAATATTTTACTGTTCTGCTATTTCCGCTAACGTAGATATTGTCACAGGCACTCATCACATCGAACTTCCGATGAGGAATGCATCAAAATTCGAGCACTGAAAGGAAATTCCAATGCAATCATGCCTCACTTTCACAACCTGTCAACCTTGGCATTCGTCGGAATTCGTGCGATTTTTCATTGCTTGAAAATACTGTATAATGTTCAGCAGCAGGGCGGCCATATTGTCTGGCAACTCCCAGGCAGTCGAAGATGCCAGATATGTCCTCTGTGTTAGATGGGCCCGCTCGACAGGCAACTGGACTTCAAGCCAATAATGTGCATCATGATAAGCAGCATCTAATAAACATAAATACGGGACAATTACATACTTCATTAACATCTCAATTTGTTCTGGGTACGGCACTTTCCCTCTTTTTTTCGTGCGGTTTTCCTGATGCATTCATTTCGATGCCTGTATAGGTTGAATAAATAAAATAGGAATTCTCGCGAGAAGTTTTGAAGGCCAGGTTTATTTAGCCATAAAAATATGCAATGAATTCATAGAGATATAGCATGGTACATGCAAAAGGGCAATTCTCAAGAAATCAGAAATAGCAGTGAAAAAACTGTCCCAACATACGGCGGTATACGAGAATACATAATGCACTGCATTTGAACCATCACATATACTATATACGCGCATTTTTCCAGGAATAATTAAATCAGAGAAATTAACCAATTAGTCGCTCGGTTAATCTATTACTTTACCAGCAGAAGTGTCACGTAAGCGAATTGGATCTTGTCGTCAATAAATGAGGTCCTGGTTGATGTTTATATACTACTCGTATCCATACATACCGAAAAGTTGTTATTGGAGAATTATTGCACACGTTTTGGGACGCTGGGTTGACTCATACATTGCAATAACGATAGATAGATTTCGTGTCCAGTACAGTACTGTATTCATAAAATTGTTTCATTTCAATATCTTTTTTATTTTAATAACCAACTAAAGAATATACAGTACTTAACTTTACAGGTATACTTGAATAGTTCTGTAAATAACGGATGGCGATTACGCGCGTGCCCTCTTCATGGCACAACCAAAAATTTTTGAAGAATGTTTTAGCGACATCTATCATATCAATGTTTAGTGAATAGTTTCACTAAGAGCGGCGCACACAGATGTAACTCAAATCGAGTCCAAAAAGACCTTCACTCGTCAAGCAGAAAAACATGTTACGTTTTTATGGATAACGCGTGATTCATTATTGTTCGAACAGCGTGATTTCAAGAACGAAAGGGATTTCATAAAAAAATATTATTGCAGCTGCAAACATTGCCCCATATATAGAATTTGGGGAACGATTTGTAAAAGCATGCAATATATACTGTACTGTATATGAAGATCTTACTACTTGTGCATTCGTCATACATTCACTCACTCATGCAGCCTTGCAGGTTACCATGAGTTGTACAACGCTAATTTTTAAAATTTTCCCGTCCTGTTTCGTTTTTTGCAGATTTTCTTTTCCGGTTATTTGTGAGTCTTACATTTGCTGGGCTGTCATACTGAAAGTTTTTCATGACCTTTTTCCATTCTTGCCTTGCTGGGAAGGAATTCATTTACCTTACATACATTTAGTTCAGATAGTACTGTACTGTATGTGCCTTTTTTTTACGGCTGAACACGTCCCGAACAGCAAAAAATCTCAAGCGTGAAATCATAAACTGGAGCGAGTAAAATTCTTTGTTCCCTGTAGGAAAACATTAAAAAGAAATTCCATTCATCGGAATGTTGTATTGTAGTATTGTTCGATAGTGTGAATAATAGCATTTTTGCCACAGAAAAGGTCAAAAATATTCTCGCGCGCATGGGATATATTCACATACAAGTATTTAATTCAACATTCTAGTAAGTCGCATACTTCGCCTTTTCTTTGAAATTGCCCAAAATCCTGTTCCCACCTAAGCAATGCATCCTAGTTTTGCCCGCCACAACTTGAAAATTTTCCTACTTAATTGTATGCCTTATTGCAAGAGTGATTACTATTGCTGATGGCGCCGGACTTGGGAAAAATTATTCCATTTTTATCTTTTTCAGCCCATAAAGTGACTCATATTTCATGACTTGCACTAGTTTCATAATTTTTTTCAAAAATATTAGATATATATATTTTTTTAACATTTAAACAGTGCTGGTACCTTTTACTAATAACACGATTCATTTATTTAAGCGCTATGCTTGTTGTACAATTTGCTATTTATATACGATACAATTACGGTGGTATAACGAAGAAATTGTATCGCATGTATAATTTTAAAAATTCGCATTTATAAAGAACAAATTGATTTTTTATCAAAAAAATTATTGTTAGTAAAAATCGCACCGCAAATGTTTGTTCTTCAGAAAGTTCCTAGTGCAAGGTGTTCATACTGAAAGGTACCACTGTACTGATGTACCACAAAGACACCATTTTTAGGCGCGTCTTTATTTTGCAGGTCAGCTGACGGGCTAAATGATCAGCATATCCATATGTATGGGGTTTCCCATCCACTGGTGGGCATTTTCCGTCTGCCGGCCCCATATGTCTGCTGATCGCGGTTGAAGAATTGCATTTTAATACAAAAGCTCGCGTTCACGAGGTGCCTCAAAGCTTGGATTTGCCTCTCATTACTTTCCTGTGTTCTTTCTCTCACTCTGTTCATGGCTGTGGAGGGCGTGGGGTAACGATACGGGCAGCGAGTCTCAGCGGGTTCCATGATTACCATCTTAATTCTCGGGATGAAAGATATGGCTGATAACATGGGGCATCTTCTCTGAGCGCAATCGCGCATGTGCCCCGTGAACCACGTTAGTGGTGGGACTTGCGGGTCAGGGGATCCGTTGCCTATAGGAATGCTGCTGGAGGAAGGAGCAATAATGCACCATTATGTATCATATGTACCATTTCCTGAGTCAGAATAAATTACAATGGTCACCACTGGTATAAATTACAGTGGTTTTTCAGTTAAAAATTTGGCTAAATTGTATCACCTGTAGTAAGACAAGCACCCCATTTTTAGTGACTCTAAAACCACAAAATTTCGAAAATAAAAGCAACAAATTTGACTTTAGATGTGAATTGAACATGAATCTGATCAATTTTAAAATTTTTCAGTAGAAAAAAGTTTTCTTGGTAAATTTGTCACAAATTTCTCAATTATAATCAAGTATAATTAAAATACAACTTCCTAACTTCTTGAAAATTGTGTACCGGCTTATGATGCGCACCCCTTTTTTTCTTCTGAAATTTGAGAAACAAGGTGCGCGTGGTACTCAAGTAAATACAATATCTGGGGGCATTTCAACCTCTCTGCAGGGGAGCCAGGATATACAGGTGAACCTGGATAACTCAAACCTCCCTAAGTCAAAATTTTTTCAAATCCCCTCTGAATCCCCTTAGAAACATTACATAAAAATCTCTGTAAGTTGAAGGTTTTTCCCCTCAAAACTCTGTAAGTCAATTTTTCTTTGGCCTGTTGGCCATTATTTTCTTGAAAAAATAAAGGAAAAAAGCAATAAAAACAGAAACTTATGTGTTTTAAAGGAAGTGAACGACTTAATTGGGAAAATAAACCCCTGCCTCCAAGTTCAGCAGCCTTTCAACTCATTTAAGAAGCCATTTAAGCTTTAGAATATCTCCATATAAATGTTTTCCAAGTTTTCCAGAAAAAGGGCTTTGTATTGCAGTTCCAACCTATAAAATTCCTGACCTCCCTAAGTCAAAACCTCCTTAAGTCAAACTTTTTTGCAGGTCCCTTGAAATTTGACTTAGAGAGGTTGGACAGATATGTGCAAAATTTGGTGCTAGGAAGCATCAGATATGAGAATACCAAGTCTGACAAGGAGAGCCAAAATCCGGAAAAATTCCCAATAATTTTTAATTTTTACCCAGAAAATGTTTGAAAATTTTTTTTTCAATGCTGGATGGCATTTTTTAGCATTCCTCCGGCAGGCGGGTTATCAATGAGAATTTTGAAAAAAAAAACAGGTTTAACTTTCCAAAATTTTTCTGCGCTTTGTCAGTCAAGGCTGCATTTGGGTGATCTTCTGTCAAACTGAAATGCGCCTGTTTGAAAAAATATCCTGGCTTTGTTGCAGTATGGGGAGGTCAACCCATTGCACTCCAAGGTTTAAATAAAAAAAAATTATGTCCCGACATTTGAACAATGCATTGAGATATTGATAATTCCCCATCATATTGAGAAAAATGGGACACCATTTAAATAAGTATGCTTTCTCTGGAACAAGTTGAGCTAATTCCCTTCACAAATATTTCAAAAAAATCTCATTATAAATTTACTCCAATTCATGATCACAAAACAAGATAACTTTGTGCTTCTCTCTCTAAGGTTGTTTCCA